TCCATCCTTCACCCAAATACACTCCACCAGATTGAAGACTCTGCCATCTGGGGTCAAGGACCTGGGGAGAACTGCATCACCGCTGGGCAGCCAAGCCTAAGACCAGACTCAGGCTGTACACTCTTTTCACTCTTTCACCAGTTTAGGCATTGATTCATGCACCTGGCAATCACTGAACTTCCATGTGCCAGGCAGGACCATGGGTAAAAGGTGTAAAGAAGACTGTGAAGGCCCTGCCAGAAAGCTGCCCAGCTGCCATGATGCTGGGTACCAGGCCTCTCTCTTGGGTCCCATCTAGTCTCTGGGGGTGGTGCTTTCTTAATGCCACCCAGGGCTTTCACGAGCAGTGACCTCAGTCATGAGTGAGCTAAGAATTCCCCAGGAAGCTTGTCACTGTGAGGCTGCCCACTCCCTCAGTCAGCAGGCCTGCAGGCTCCAGGATCTGCCTTTTACAGGCACTCCTACAAATTTGCAGTTGTCATCCCAGGATTGTTCTTGGAGACACAACCCTCTAGGTTCACAAGTCACTAAGAATCTGTGACCTACAACACGGAGTCTGAGCATCCAGCTCAGTCAGGGACCTTTGCACCGACCTTGTCCCCTTCCTACTCCACCTCCAGCCCATTCCTTGGCACTTGCCACAGGGAACCCTGATTATTCGCCCTCTCTACACTGCCGTTTCTTCAAGACCAACTCCAAAACCACTGCTCTGGAAGCCCTCGCAGACTCACCACTCTGTGTCACCCAAAACGTAGGGACTCACACACATTGTGCCAGACTACAAGAAGTTCTGTTGCCTGGATGAGCCTGCATATGGTTGGAGGTCTAATGAAAGTGAGAGTGACCAGATGTGCCTGGGACCCTGTCGCAGGAGAATGGGTAAGGGACCTGAGTGTGTGGCCTGAAGAATGGAGCACAGGGGGTGCCTCCATCTGCTGCAGGCCTGATGGGGACAGGGAACAGGGCTACTGAAGGTCCACTGTGTGGCTTTGGGAGGACAGGCAGGGCCATGGAAAGGCAGGTCTTATCTCTGATGAGAAAAGGTGTCAACAGCTTTCTATCAACAGTAGGCATGCAGGGGATGTCAGGAAACCTGCACAGTACAGGACCTGCCATTGACCAGATCATCTCAGTGGTAGGGAGTGGAGACCCCCTACCTGGGCCTGAGGCTTGGCAATCAGCTCCTGGCTCTTAGTCTCCCACAAGTAGCTGGGGGACCCAGATAAGTCACTGATCCTGCCTGACCTTCCTTTTCTTATTTCTCCAGTGGAGATACTGTGCACTTGGACGAATCCCTGGGACCCAGGCCCATATGAGAGAGTGGAAAGGGAAAATACACTGTAAACAGTCAAGGGCTCAGCCTTCCCCAGCAGGACATGGAACCAGAAGCCAGAAATGAGAAGACAACAGACTGGACGACACACAGAGTAGAAACTTCCCTGTGAAGAAAGAGCCCAGAAGAACATTAAAAGAGACTGATCTGGCAGGCTGGGGGACACAGTGCCAATATTCACGATAATATGGTTCACAGATAAAGCTCCTCACAAATTAAGAAAAGAGAAATGGACAAAGGATATTTTAGGGGAAATACTAGTAGGCAATAAACATGAAAAAAAAATTGTACATTTTATCACTATTCCAAGAAGTTTCACATTCAAAATACCAGTGAACTCACATCTGTTTCTAGCAGACTGGGAGAGTTTGCTGCTGCTTTTTGGCACTGGGGTGAACACAGGGCCTCACGCATGGGTGCAGGTCAAGTGCTCCAGCAGGGAGCCACCTCCCCAGGACTCAGAAACATTTCTGAAGACCAAAGCTTTTCGACATCAACAAGAACGTAGTGATGTTGGGTTTCCCACACACCTTCTGGGAGTGTACATCCACAGGACGTTTTCAGATCACAGTGGAACAATATGTCTGTGTTTTTCAGGACCTACCCTTTGACCCCACCAAATCTCTTACAGGAATGGATCCTGCACTAATGATTGCCAGTGTGTCCAAAGGCGCATAGACATTAGAGAAAAGCCAGAGGAACTCAAGTGTCCACAATTAGAGGAACCCTGAGGTAAATGCTGGTACCTACACATGGGATACAAATGAGGCAATTTAACAAACAATGTAGGTCTCTGTGCACAAGCTGAGAAGGTTTCTAAGATGTGTTGTGAAGTGACAAAGCTCAAACCCCAATATAATAAATAGCTCATGGCTTTATTTTTTAAAACCTTGAAGGAAGGAGGTATGAATGGGTGTGCATGTGGACACAGGCAAATGTCAGGAGGGGTGTGCACATAACTTGTGGTTGCTGCTGGGAATGGGCTCTGGTTGAGAGCAGGGTTTGGGGGAGCTTCCAGGTTGGGGCACTACATCCCTCTTTATGGATGAATTTCATACAGTGAGCACTGCTGTTACAAAAAAATAAAAAATAAAAAATAGCCAACAGGGTGGGAAGGGAGAGCAGGTCCACCACCCTACCTGGGTCCAGGACTGCTCCTGGCCCACACGTGGGACTACTGGTGGCCTTTGCTGTTCATTTCTTTCCAGAAGCCCTTCTTCCTCTCCCCTGCCTCTTCTTGGACAATCCACCCTTCCCTGCACCTCATCAGTGCCCCACCTCACAGTTGGCTTCTGTTGCATAGCAAATGAACCACCCCCCAAACCACAGGGCACATCCCCATGAACATGTCTTCTTCCCTGTGTGGGACATGCAGCTATTCAGCTGAGGTGGGGGGATAAGGAGGGCTTACTCATGCATCCGTGGGACAACTAGAGCTGCTCTGGTGGGGCTGGGACACCTTAGCCACATCGGGCACCCACCCATGTCTTTCTCGTAGTGATGTTAGAAACATAAGAGGCCAAAGGGGTGGGGTAGGTGGGGTAAGAAGGAACGGAAAGACACAGGATGCCTCAGGAGGCCTGCACACACAACTGGCCCCTTCTCATTTGCATCTCTTTCTACTGACCAGAGACAGCCACAGAGCCAAGCCCAGGTTCTACAGGAAGAGATCCATTGCACCTTTTACTTTAGGGGAACTCCAAGTCACATGACCAAGAGCTTGACTGCTGGAAAGAGTGAACAATTGGGGCCCTTAAGGCGATTTCCTTCAGACACCATGAAGAGGGAAAAGAGGAGCCAGAGAAAGGGACGGGTTTGCCACCAGGTAACCAAAGCATCCATTGTACACTTTACTCATTCCCTTGTTTTATGCTACACCATCATAAAAAAAAAAAAAACACTTCTTTTTACAAATTCATTCCATTATTAATGAACATTTAGGTCTTTTCTACATTGGGGCTCCATTCACAAATACTCCCAGGTGTCTTAGTGCACATGGAATCACGTTTCTGTTGCGTGTGTTCCTGCCATGGAGTGGAATTGGTTTTGGATCAGGGAATATGAGTGTTTCCAATTTAGGTAAATAATGCTAAACTGTTTCCCCAAATCTTGTATATGGAGTTATACCCTCACCAGCAGTGTGACACTTCCCGTTGTTCCATGTTCTGGGTAAGATTTCAGGAGAGAGTTTCTGTAGATGTTAGGCAGAAATAAATTGCATTTAAAAAAATAACCTGGTGAACCAATGATTTCATATCCTCTTACTGAAAAGACAGACATGTCCCCACCCCCTTCTATGATTTATCAGGATCCTATATAAAGAGATCTGTTTCTAAGTTCTTTATTTTTTATCAACAGTATACTCTTCTGCAAACCAATATAGATTATTTTAATCACATCATTTTTCATAATGATTCTTGATATCTTCTGAAGAAATACTTCTAATTTATTTCATTTTTTAACAAATTGTCTTGGTTATTCTTGGCTCTTTACATTTTTCCAATAAAGTCTTAAATACTACAAAATTCACCCTTTCCAGTCTATAGTTCTGGTACTTATTTTTATTTGTCCTGGGAATTGAAACAAAGGTTGCTTTACTTTTAAAGGGACATACATCCAAGGCCTTTTTTAAAAATTTGAGACAAGTTCTCACTATGTTGTTTAAGGCCTCACTAAGTTCCTGACACTGGCCTTGAATTAGTGATCCTGCTGCTCAACCTCCCCAGTTTCTGGGATTACAGGTGTGCAACTCTGCACCTAGCTATCGGTTCTGCTACTTTTAAAGTATATAGTCATGTTAAGTTATCACAATCAAGATACAGTTTCCTAATCAAAGCAGCTCCCCTGTTGGGCTGGAGCTGCAGTTCAGTGGTAGAGAGCTTGTTCCGCATGCACAAGGTCCTGTGTTCAATGGACCAGCACTGCAAAGGTACAGTTCCCTGGTGATATCTGCAGTCAACGCCTAAATTCTACCTCCAGTCCCTGGCATCCAATGGTTGGTTTTCTTTCCCTTTTCCAGAATGCCATATGGATGGAATCATGCACCATTGAAGCCTTTTGAATGTGGCTTCTTTCCGTTATCATAAATTATTTGCTTTTCATCCATGTTTGTTTATATCAGAAGTCTTCTCATTTTATTGCTGAGAGCACTTTATAGTATGGACATATCACGGTTTGATAGGGGACATTAGGATTGTTTCCAGAGTGAGGTGATTACAAATAAAGCAACTACAAACATTTTGAACAATGGTTTTATACCAAATTGGTCTGAAACAAATTTAGTGAGAATCATCCCTGGGGAATGGGAGAAAGGACAGAAGAGCAGGGCAGAGGAAGGGTCCCAGGGAAGCAGTCTCTGATGTCTTCTGCAGGTGGGGGCAGAGGAGAGTCCTGATGTCCAGATGGATGCAGAAGGGTGCTTGGTCCTTGGGCAGAGAAACCTGAGGTCTTGGCACATCTTGCTCCTTCAGTGGTTTGGAGTCCACACATCTGATACCCACACAAGGTGTCAGGATCTACAGAGCACAGGGTCCTCTGGCTGTCCCCTGATTTTGCCTGGGTCATCTCTTCCCTTCACTGGAGCCACACTTAATGAACCTGCCACCTTTCTGCCCTCTTACATTGGAGCCAACTTATTGCTGACCCCTGGTGTGCAACAGCACAGTTCTCAGACACAGGTAGCAATCCTCCTGTCAACCCACCTCAAGAGCCTTCTGTGGGCCTGGGGTTGCCCAGAGTCCAGCTGAGGGCCTACATCAGGTATGGAGGCCCCTGCTGGCTGCAAATGGAGATGGAGAGCAGGCTCACTGGCACTCCTGATGTGCTTCTGCCCTGCCTGTCTGGCGCCCTCAGGCAGCTGAGGCTCACAGGGCAAGGGGAAGGTGCTCAGGGCAGGCTCGCTGGGGCTCCTCTTTGGGAGCACAGGGGAATGGGAAAGATCCACAGGATGTGGGCGAGGCTTCACCCTGGGAGGCACAGGCTTCCCCTGGAACATGCAGCCTGCCTCCTGGCTTTTCTGGTGCTGGAGCAGGAGGTAGGTAGCCATGGCCGCATTGAACTTTCTCTTGGCCAGGGACACCCAGGTCTTGCGCAGATCATAACCCATATCAAACATGGTGGTCAGTATTTCAGGGTCTGGGCGTATGGGGATTGGCTTACTATAATCATGGGGTAAATCCTGCTTACCCTGTGTCAGCCATGGGTGCTGAAGGATCTGCTTGGCTGTGGGCCGCTTCTGGGGGTCCAGGGTCAGCATTTGGCGGATGAGCATTTGCGCTGCCAGGGAAACACAGGGAGGGTCGTGGTAGGTTGCCAGTGTGATCTGACTCAGCATCTCCTTAGAGGTGTTGCCACCAAATGGGCACCTCCCTGTCAACATAAAATGCAGAATGACACCCAGGCTCCAGATGTCCACTTGGGGGCCCTCATACTCTTGCCTCAGGATAATTTCGGGGGCAAAGTATGAGAGAGTGCCCCAGAACTGGCACAGCCTCTGCCCAGGCGTGAACCTGGCACTGAAGCCAAAGTCGATAAGTCTGGCGTGGCTTCTGGCATCCACCATGATGTTCTCTGGCTTCAGGTCTCGGTGCATGATGCCCTTGTCGTGGCAGTAGCTCACGGCACTCACTACCTGCTGGAAAAGTCTGCGGGCCTCTTCCTCCTGCATGCCACCCTGTGGCACGTGGTCCAGTAGCAGACCCCCACCTGCGTGTTCCATCACCATGTAGATATTTCTGTGGGTCTCAGCAACCTGCAATAACTGGATTACATTGGGATGCTCCAGGCTCCTCATCATCTCTGGTTCGGAGAGGACCAGGAAGTTCTGCCTTTTCTTCCGCAGGACTTTGATGGCCACCTCTACCCCAGTCAGGCGATGGCGGGCTAGTTTGATCTTGCCAAACCCGCCAAACCCAATGTCCCTCAGGACCTCATACTGGTCCCTCAGGACTGCCTTCTGGCAGGACCTGGGCCCCTGCAACACAACACTACTCTCACTGCTCTGGCTATGCATCCTAAGCAGGAACACCAACCAAGGATGCTAGCAAAAAAAATAAAAATAAAAATAAAAACAGACCAAAACAACAAATCAAAATCAATAACAGAAACAAGACAAAACAACAAACCCAAATCAAAGAACCAATAGCCAAGGACCACCAGCAACAACTGCCAACCGCCAACCACCAAAAGTACTAACTATCATGGAGTCCGACAGGTTACCACCAAGAGCTTCCTGTACTTGTGGACAAAATCCCAGCTGTGGCCACTCTCTCATATACCTTTGAAACTTACTCACAATGGCTCCTTTTGACATCAGAGCAAGTAATCGCTCAGCCATGCCTGGCCATAATTCCTATGGGTGTCTCCCTTTGGGGCCTCCAGAACTTCTTCCATTTTCAGAATAGGAATAAAGAACTTCAGACATTTTTTGCTTTATTGGTTCACGGAGACTGATGTGTACTTGCTTAGAAATTAATATTCTGTGGAACTTCAATGTAATTTTCACTTTCCATTTAAAAACCTGTAATAACTTTTGGTTATTACCTTAAATACATTACACAAAAATAGCATTTATCCTGGTTCCTAAATTTTGGGTGTCTTCTCACATTTTACACATCTACCTCATCCTTGTCCCTTGTCCCTTGTCCCTTGTCGCTGCACTGGCAGCAGTTTCAGGAAGTCTGGGTAGTGTTTGGGAAATGACAGATCTGGAGAGGTGGGCAGAGTGGACTGCCAGATGACAAGCCAGGAGATACAGACCATCTAGAAAGATGGGCCAGAAGCTTAACTAAGGTACCAGAAGCTAATGATGTGGTCAGAATGCTTTTTAAAATGTGTACTGAAGGACATAGTGGGAGGAAAGCAGTAGTGAACACGGTGGACTTGGTGGAATTTTGGGCAGGGGGGACGGGTGTGGCATCAGCAAGAGAATCAGCACACTTGGCCATCCACATAGGGAAGACATGTGTGGAGAACAGGACGTTTGAGAGGAATTACAAGGACTAACAGAATCTACTTACTATTTTGGTGAGGGGCATTGGAAGAGGGATAGGTGCAGCAAAGACCAGGGGAATCCAAAAACCACTGAATGGATCAATGGGTGAACCTGGAGCACCTTGTGCTAAGTGAAAGAAGCCTGACACAGGGAGAGGATACTGTATAATCTCACCAGTGGAATTTGAAAGACATGTACTTGTAGATGCAAGGAGTAGAATGGTCTATGGGCAACAAAGAGGTGATGGTTAAGGAGTTGTAACATTTCAACTATGCAAGTTGATTAAGTTCTGGAGTTCTACTATGTGGTATCATGTCTAGAGCTGACAGTACTGTCAACTTAAAATTTCTAAGAGGGCAGAATGTATGTTAAATTTTCTTACTAACAAAGCCCCCGGCCCCAGTCATAATAATAAAGAGAATGGGAAGAACCTTGGGGAGGTCTATTTGTCATCTTGGTGCTGGTGATGAATTCATGGGTTTATACTTTCCCCAAATTCATTGAGATGCATACACAAAATATTCAAGGCTTTTTTTTTGGTCAACCACTTCTCAATAAGTGATTTTGAATAAATGAATAGATATTTTTCATAAATGGTTTTAATGACTCCAATTATAGACTATTCTTTGAACATATATCTAAGCCAAGGCAAGAGCACATCATTCACCAAGTCTGATTGGCTCTATCAATTGCAGCAGTAGTTTTTCAAGTGTGATCTCCAGACCAGCAGCATCTGCAATATCTGGAGAATGACAGAAATGCAAATTCTCCAGCTCCAGCCAGTCTTGCTGAATCGGAAGCTCAGGAGGTGGAGTTGGGGCCCAGAAATCTGTCATCACAAGCCCTCCAGGTGATTGTTGCATGTTCAAATGTAGAATCCTCTGAGCCTGGTAAGAAGAAGGCTGTAGACATCGGGGAAGCAGGGATGTGAAGAACAGCTGTGATTTCAGGCGCACATTGTATGAGCAGGTGGAGCTCAGACAGTTCTTGGAGAAAGAAGATTGGGAAGGGAAAAATCCTTAAAAGACAAGTACTATTCCCCCCAGTCCCTTGAATTTAGGCCACTGAGATTTTACCAATTCCATTGATGGGGAGTGTATCAAATATCTACTATTTTATTACTGGTATTATGAATCCATTGTATTTTCAGGTTAGTCTGGAATAGCACAACATAGATGACAAAAATATTTGATATGGTTACAGAAATAGTTTAGTAACTATGGTGTCCTTGACAAGTGTTGCTCTACTCGTGTTCTTTTTGATCTTTATCTGCATATCAGAACCACCTGGGGAGCTTTAACAAAACCCACACATCTGGGTGCACCACAAAGTTCTGACTCCATTGCCCCTGTGTGTAATCTGAACATTGGGATTTTAGAAAACTCCCCAGATAATTCTAGTGTGCAGCTAAGTTTGAGACCTATGAGGATATAAATTTATCATCAAGCCTATGAACTTAGGTATTTTTTTTGCCAGTGGTGAGGAAGATGATTTGCTCCAGGTGAATTTTCCAAACAGAGGAAATAACAGGTGGGATTTAGCTTTGAGTCAGTACACAGTTCACCTTGGTAAAGCAGAGTGAAGCTGTGTGCTATTATTGTAGGGGATGGAGCTCTGTTCAATTTGACAAACATTTATTGAACTCTCTGGGTAATCTGCTAGTTGATAGGGATTCAGTGAAACACAAGTCCCTGTGTTCAGCTCCTTTTTTAGAGCAGGGATCAGACAGAGTGTGATCTAGAATTTTGTGTTGTCTACACATTGATGGTTCTCAGTATTGGTGAAAGTGCACATTTGTGCATTGGAGTAATCAGGTATTACCATGCTATTTGTGTTATGAACCAGAGCTAAATCACTGGTCTGCAAATAATTTACTCTAGATAAATAAATTACGGTGCACTTGCAGATATGCAAAAATAGCATCACTCACTTAAGTTCCAACATTGAATGAGAATTAGAATAGCATTATAGATGGAAATTGTTCACATGAGGCCCAAAAGATGATCTAAACAATCCTAAAATCACATATGAAAGATTGTCATATCTGTATTTTGATCAATGATATCAGTAAGTTCCACTTATTCAGCAGCAAATGGATCAATTTGTCTCATCTGTAACTATAGTGTATGTGGAAGAATCACTACATTTGAAGATAGGGTAGGGAGAATTATGTGCAGACAGAGTTGAAGTCAGCAGTTCCATGTGGTTTAGTAACACCTAAGAGTTCTATGAAAGTAAGGACCTCAACTCTATGTTTCCAGTGGAGTCCAGCCCAGGAGGCCTTGTTCAGGTACTGAATTGAAGACTGTTTTGCTGCTAATTCTGTGACCTAGTGTTGTCATCACATCATACATCATAGTGTATCCAGGCACCAGTGGCTGAAAACAACAGAGACATTCTCAAACTGATGTTAGAACAGCTCAGATGTGCCATTAAGCGATAATCCCTGTCTTAGAATCTGCAGTCCTGTGTGGGATTCAAACTCTACCACCTGTTCTAGGCTTACATTCTAATTACCTTAGTACCCTTGTACAAAAAGAATTCCTGTTAGTTTCAGCAAATTCCTGGGAGGTAGGTCCAAATTGACCTGGCTTGTGTTATATGCCCCATGGGATTCAGCTATTTTCTGAGTCAAATCATATAATTAACCCATGTAGTGCAAGGTGAGCTTTGACATATTGGCTGAGAGTAGGGGGTGATTCGCTTAGAAAGATAGGGTGGTCATTTCCAGTTCTACAGTAGGTATTTGAAGAAATGGATGTGTGGGAAAATGAAGAGCTTATCCCAAGTCATATAGGCAGTAAATGAAAGACACTAACTTGTACTTAGTCTGCTGGACTCTGTAAACTGGCCTAAAGAATGAGGATTTGGGCTAGCCATGGTGGTGCATGCTTATAATCCCAGCCACTTGGGAGGCTGAGGCAGGAGGATCTCAATTCTGAGGCCAGCCTCAGCAACTTAGAAAGGTAAGCATCCCCGAGTTCAATCCCCAGCACCAAAATAAAAAGTTTTTAAAAGGAGCACCTGGGAGTCTACGGAAATGTAAGCTTCAGGGCCATTCACAGCCATAGAAAGCCCCTCTCCATTAAAAACAATGACAAAAAATTGTTTGATTTTCCTTTCAGAGTGCTGCAATAACCATATCAACTTTAGATCTCCCCAAACCTGTCTTTGATTCCTGCATATCTTGTTTCCCCTGCCTGGATGTCCCTTCCTGCCTGCAGTTCTAACAGCCTGTTTCAGGACACATCGCTCTCCAAATTCAGATACTCCAACTGATTTTGATTTGGCACTTTCTCTGGCTTCCCCAGTAAAACATGATTACTTCCTATTCATGGCACCTTCTTTGAAGATCTCCTGGGATATCTGTCACAGTCTCCCTTGTGTTATTTTAGCTGTTTATGTGCATATCTTATCTTTCTACTGAAATGTCAGTCACTCTCAGGTGACTTAGTTTTTCTGAGTCCCCATGGGAGTCACTCTATGGTTGCCTAGGGGTTATGTACCCGATGCATGAATGTTGGGGGATGAGCACAGAATCCATGCCTACCGAGAGTGTCTTTGTTGATTATCCTGGAACTACTGACTTTTTTGTTTGTTTCATTTCTTTGTTTTTTTCTCTTTTGTATCTTTGGACAACTCTTTATCTTGGTTTTCCCCAAACCAGGAAATTACTTGCTCTGTGCCAATGAATCTGGAAGATTTTTTAAGTAGAGGCTTTGAAAGACAAAGGTGTAAAAAATATTGCAGGCCAGATGTATTCATTTAATATTCCAGAGGTCTTAAAAAATGCATTAAGGGGAGTCACTAGAAATGTTGTCTCATAATTTCCCTGTTTCTTCTCCTCTGGGACATTTTTGTCACTTATTTCAATGCTTAAGAGGTGGTTGGGTTGTTGTCAAGGCTTTACTAATAAATATTTAATCAGTAAAAACCTTAACTTTAAGTCTTTCTAATGGTGTCCATACCAAATACTTTCAGAAATAACAGACTTCTCTCAAATGTACCCCGGAATACGT